TGAGAGACACTGATGGTTGTAGTGATGGGGGTTCTTCACAGTGCCTTTTAGAACCTTGGTCTTCCACCCCAGCCCACCCTGTGCTAGTGGCAAAGGTAAATCCCTGCCTCCTGGGCAGAGAAGAGAAGCCAAGAACAAGTCCCCACCTGTTTTAGTTTGCTAGGACTGATGCCAGATACTGGGATCTTTTGGACTGGTAAGGATGGAAACAAAATCTGGTCACATGTGAACATACAGGCATGACTTTTCCTGGGGCTTTCGTTTAGGAAGAGAAACAGCTCTCACAAAATGTCAGACTGGGTCCCTGAACAAAAGAAGGAAGCTTAGTTTGTTGGTTACTTGCTGGGGTGGAAATGTGAATTAGCTTTAGGTGTACTCAACTCAAGAGTTTTGGCCTGGGCTAAAGATAATTTAGTACAGTTGCTGAACACACTAAAGCTTCCCACTTTAGGTAGCAGTTAGACATAAGCAGTAGGCAGGAGTTTAAGAAAATATTTGGTATAGAACAAATTGATTAACCAACAGCCCTGCTTCAGTGACACSTCAAGCTCTGAAAAGACAGCTATTTCAGGACCCTTGTCTGATCTCAGTCTTATAAACTATTCCTCTTACAACTGAAGAAAGAGATAAATTCAGGAGAGGATGAAGATAGGTTTCCTCAGAAAGGCCTAATTGCTGAAGCATCTTATGCAAGACCCTACACAAACACAGACCAGAGATTTCCATACTCCGGAAAACAGGGTGATTAAGACCAGAGCCCACAGCCCATAAATTCTGTTGAAAGAGTTCCATTTAGGACCTGTAAGCCAGGCCAAGATGACCGAGAGTCACCATTAGGTTGTTAACTAATRTAGTCTGTCAATCCAGAACCGAAAGTGATACTTGGGTGGGTGTTCTAAGGATCTCCCTCCTATWCCAAAAAAGGCTGGGACAGAAAGAAGTGAGTTGTCACTGTCCTCTCTGAGAGAAAYCACTCTCTCCCTTGAGGGTGCTTCCCCCTTCTTTATCTTCTAATAAACTTTGCTATACTTTTACTAAAAGTCTCATGTYTTGCTTGAAATCTTCTCATGAAGAAGAACTAAAAACATAATGCAATCTTCAGTAAGATCTCAGATGTGATCACATCTCTGWTTTCACCTTTCCTCAAGTATGCAAAGCCAACACTGGTTGAGGGTGGTGCATACTGTGTCTCCTGGTGTTTGCTGTCAGGCCATGAGCTTGCYCAGCACCAATAATGCATTTTCCCTTTGTCCCTGTGGTGGTCCCTGTCTCAGGGCTATTGTAACAAGGTACTKCAGATTGTGTGGCTTACCCAACAGAAATTTACTGTCTCATAGTTCTAAAAACTAGAAATCTAAAATTGAGATGTGGCTTCTAACCAGCCCACTACCGACTACTGTGGGTTCCCAGGCCTAGCCCAGATCTGCCCACACAAGCCTGTATGGGACCCAGGCTACAGTAGGCCCGGGTACACTCCTTTACTTGCAGGGCAGACACCTACCAGAGCTTAGCCTCCAGCATAGGACCACCCCTTCCGATCAGCAGACTACCACAGGAGCCCAGACCCAGCCCAGATCCGCCCACACAGACTCTGTAGGACCCAGGTTAGGGTAGGTCTGAGTTTGCCCCCTCCACCCCCACCTGGGAGCCTAAGCCTAACCTACTTCCATCTTGGAACACTGCAGTCATCACCATAGCCTTCCCCACGCAGTAGCCCCTAACTTTTTGACAGTAGACAGGGCATAGAAGCAGCTGCATCTCGGAGCAGGCACCCCAAAGAGAGTGTGAGGCCCACCCTTTCAGCCTCATCTCTATAAGACATTGCTTCCATCTTGGACACCTTAACTATTATTTCAAATTACCTCCACTATTGCCACCACCACCTTTAGATGCAGTGGTATACATTGAGGGACACCAGTAGGATTTGGAAGCCCAACATCAAGGTGAGGTACAATCTGCACAAGAATATAGGGAAGACACTGTAATATCTCAGATCCATGCTGCAAGAAAGGAAGACACATAGACAACATGAAAAAAAAAGGAAGGAAAGTGTCCCAAACATTATTACTATAATCAACAGAATCCATGAACAGAGAAATTGGTGAAATGTCAGWGAAGGAATTCAGAAAGTTCATAAGTAAAATAGTCTGTGAATTAAAGAATGACCTAAATGAGCAAAAATTGTTCACTCCAACAAAGAGATAAGAGAGCAAATCCAGGTAGCAAAATATTACTTCAAGAGAGAGATAGAGACTTTGGGGGAAAAAAAAAGTCAGAAATCCCTAAAATGAAGGGTACAGTAAACCAAATAAAAAAACTCAATTGGAAGCATAACCAACAGA